CAGTTATAATATATGTTTATTAAATAAAGTCTAATGTTACAACTAATCATGGATCCCTCTAAAAGGCTGCGTGCGTACCTGGCAGTGAGGACAGTAGTGCATCTTGAGCAGAGCCCTCCTGCACTCGCGGCTCAGCTGTAAGTGGTCCGTGGTATTGATGACCTCGATGCCGAGGTGCAGCGCTTCCAGCAGCAGCCTCCCAGAAACCCCGGAGCGAGTAATCTGATCGGCGAGGAGGTCCGGCGCCGCGCCGAACGGCCTGACGTCGCGGCTTATCGACCTCACGCACTCGGAGTAAACGGGCGGCAAGTCGCCGGCTCCGGGGTTTACCAGGTGGCCGTAGACCGGCGGGAGGAGGCCGTCGAAGAAGCGCTGCACGAACCCACCCACGTCCACCTCGGACCCCAGCAGGAAGAGCCCGATGTCGGTGAAGAGCTCCCCCACCGTCTCCGCGGCCTGGTCAGCCATCTTCTGATAGGACGCCTGCAGGAAGGCGTTGGTGTGGTTCTCCCCCTGCTTCAGCAGAACCTCAAACGTGTCTGTGGCATAAAAACAAGCAAAAACAGGGACATGAAAACGATTAGAGGGGAGCTGGAGCTCGTTTTAAGGTTGTCAAAGTGGAAACAGGAGAAACATCCAAAAGCAAATATGAAGAAACAGTGTTTTTGGGTTTTATTTATTTATTTTTCTAATTACTTRGCCTGTTGAATTATCTCATGCATCATAATCATTTCCTGTTTGTCCTTTTGGAGTCAGTCCAATTAGCTCTCACAGCTAATCAACATTAGTGAACACATAAAGGCTTTCATCTCCGTCAGATTTAAAGATATTGAGCTGAAATTTGTTGTGAAAGTAGCTGAGAGTCATCAACAACACATCAGCACACATCAGGAAAGATGTTACAGTTATGATTATTGTTTTTTCATGCTTTAACCAACTACAGCTCTTCAACAGGGCCGCACACAYCAAACACAACAGCTCAGGGGCCGGAAATGGGGGGCATTACTCAAGTATAATCTTTTATCTTTTAAATTTGTTATTTTTGTTGCATTGAAACATAAATTTACTAATGATTTGAAATCTATTTTTATAATAAATTAATTAATAAAAGAAATTTATTACATTTTAAAAAGAAGAAAATTTGTGGGAGCTCATTGACGGGCCGGTTGGAAGTCACTTGTGGGCTGGAAGTGGCCCGCTGGCCATCAGTTGAATAGTCCTGAACTAGACCTTTAATTGTTGCTGTATTTCAGAGGTGTCAAACTCAGTTATATAAAGTTATATAAAAGGGACCAAAATTCAAAACGTGGTCCAAAATAATAATATCTGTCAATATTTATTAAATTAAATTATTCTTATAAAATAAAAAATACCTTATTACAAATTATGTTTTAAGTAGCATTTAGAACATARATGACCTAATGAATAAAGAAATTTTATTTAATTTAGAAAGACTCATTAGCATTTATTTCTTGTGCTTTAAAACATTTTCATTTATATTTCTTAAACATTTTATCACAATCAAACAAATCTGGTAAACAAAGTCAACACTCAGTGAAAATCCAGATGTTTGACTTTAAAATAATAAGAAAAAAAAGAAAACAGAGAAGGTAAATAAAGTAATTTCTCTGTCACTCTTTCCACACCAAAATTAAAGATTACTGAAAAATTCATACATAAGTTTCTTGGCTTCATGAAAATTATGAGAAGAATTCACTAAAACAAGAGAAAAAAACTATTTTATATTTAAAGTGCCTGTGATGTACATATCAGTCAAATACAAAAAGTCAAAGAAAACATCTTTATATTTAAGAAACTTGGTGTAAAACACACGATTTTAACCATTTTGTCCCACATAACTGCATATTTTCTTTTGAAACTTGGCTCAAAGTGAAACAGYAAGTGACATCAACTCGTTTAGAAAATTAACTCCCAGGTGTTTAAAAGAAATTAAAACAATATTATTTGAACTCTGACTCTTCTTCATCTCTCTGATAGTGGCTCAAACTAATCTTAAAAAAAACATCTGATTCTTCTCTGCAGTCTGCGTTGTTAGCTGTTGTGGTAACGCCGTGTTTACATGCAGACATTCCCCTTTGATGTCACTTCCTGTTTCTTCACGTGTTAATTTCTCAACAACTGTTCATCCCAACTGAATGATTTTTTTAAAATATCTTTACAATAATGAATTCATATTTATTATCAAAACTTGATGTCAAAGGCACTTTAAAGTGTTTACCTTCGGGGACGGAAGAAATGGTAACGAGGGCCAGATTTGGCCCACGAGCCTTGTGTTTGACACACGTTATGTTAAACAACAAAGCTACACGTATAAAGAAAAAACAATATTTTGGTCGCTGTCTTTGTTTTGGCACAATAGGAAATGTTTCACAAGCTCAACTTCTTGCCTTGATCCTTTTGTCTCTTTTTTTTTTTTTTGGTTTTTATTTTTCAGCTAGTAGCTGATCCATGGCCACCCTCAGGTCATGTGCTTGTCAGGAGCTGCTAAAAGTCTGGTGAGGTTGATCAGGGCTTAGATGGTCCAGAGCTGTATAATAAGCCCCAAAGTGGTCAGGTTGACTCGGAGCGGCTCCTGGTAAAAGAGCAGCTGCGAGGGGGGGGAACAGAGGCAGAGGGGTTTGGCGTGCCCACCGGCGTTAACATCTCAGGTGGGAGCGTTAAACCGCGAGGTGAGGGAACCTGAATCTTATCTCAGGTCCTCTGTGATCTCGCCTGGAAGTGTTATGTCTAACGAGATCTGAGGCTCAAAGGAGTGTTTTTATGTTGTTTTAAAAAGGAAAGCTGCTCCTCCTACACAACGTGAGCTCCGTGGTCAGAGAGCGAAGCAGGAATCAGAGAGCAAATCTGCACCGGCGATAAAACACAGCTCAGACTGAGACATAATAAGAGCTCACCGAGTTCCCTTTGAGATGATTACGAGCCTCAGGTACACGGAGCGGAGCGGGCAGATTTATGAAGGCTCCCACAGGGATTACAGCACGGGTTTCAGAAACGCCAGGCGGGGGTTACAACAATAGATTATGAAGTTAARGAATCCCATCTGTCAAATCCTATAACTCATTTCTGAGCCGTAAACAAATTTGTCTTTGTTTTATAAGCCGTCGCTTTTTTTAATTTCACTTCCAAGAATAAATAAAAGAGGCTTTGTTGGTGGACATATATTAACAAGAGGACAATAATAAACAGTTCATCCAGAGCATCTTGTGGACATAATAAGTTATAGCTTTGATTAGCATCACACTGAAGGCATTCCTCTCCTGTCTGCTCCAAGTCAGTTCCTGTAAAAGTCATCCGGACACACCGGCTATCAGATAGCAGCATCATAAAAGCCCGTCAGATKCATTCTTCCACAGATGAGCCTAAAAGGCTTTTAAATGAGATTCGGTTTTCTTCTTCACTCCTTTAATTGCTGCACTTGTTTTCTTTAATGTAAGGCGATACGCTTTAACGACAGCWGTCGTTAACTGAGTGATGAGCGGGTCCAAACGCCACCTTTTCCTCCATGAATCTCTCTGTTTCTTATTAGTTTAAAATATATTTTCACCTAAAATGAGAGAATGAAAACGATCTACAAGAAAATATTCTGCCAATTATCAACATATAGTAAAGTATAAAACATGCCACGCATCTTCTGTAGAAGTACAACATGAATGCTTAATGCTGAGAGATTTCTGCAGAAAGATCAATATCTGTTTTAAAATAGCAAACGTGGCAAAAATAGCCTAAGATGCTGAATCTAGCACAAAAAACAAGAAAGAGCACACATTTGCTGAATTAAGCAGCTAAAAGAAGTAGCTGAAATTACCACAAAAAGGTGAATTTAGCTGAAAAACACTCATATTATAGCTGAAAATAACAAAAAATAGCTTAAATTGCAAAAAAAATAACTGAATGAAGCATAAAAAGCTGAATCTAGCAGAAAAAAAACAAGAAAGAGCACACATTTGCTGAATTAAGCAGCTAAAAAAGGTAGCTACAATTATCACAAAAGATGAATTTAGCTGAAAAACAGTAATATTAGCTGAAAATAACAAAAAGGCAGCATAAATTGCAAATAAACAGCTGAATGAAACACAACAAAAAGTTTAAATTAGCAGTAAGAAGCTGAAAAAGACCAAAAATATAATTAGCTGAACAGATGAAACGAGCAGAACGATAGCTGAAAAATATGCAAAAAAAAGGCAGCTGAAGGAAGCTAACATTAGCACAAAAAGGAAAATTAACAGAAAAGGGTAAATAAATGTATAAATTGCTGGAATACTTAAAAGTTATAGCGAAAATGTCCTGAATGAGCTGAATGTTTCACACATAAATTGTTGAAAAAACACAAATATTGTGAAACAATGTGTGCCCTGAAAAACACACACAAGTAATAAATCTCTCATTAGTTTGAACCGACAAGCTTCATGTTCCCACCACAAGAGGGCGACATTTCCCCTTTTTTGTTTATTTATTTATTTATTTATTTATTTATTTATTTATTTATTTATTTATTTATTTATTTATTTATTTATTTATTTATTTATTGTCTGAGGAGCAACAGACAGGAGTTCAGATATTTATGGTATTTTCTGATGTTATTAGAATCCTCTTTACCCTGATTTATTCAAAATGTTTCCCTACAAATGCTAAAACGTGAGTTCAACCACAGTCCAGTCAAACTTTATGACTTCAACAAGTCAGGGAAGGTTTTATGACACATTTTCCTCTGATGGTGAATGTTCAAATGTATTTTTTTTTACCTCAAAGCGACTCTACAATATTTGCAAACCCACAAAGTTAGGCTGCAAACAGCCTAACAGAGTGTTTGCATTCATAGACAGAGTAGGAGGATCAGTCAGCAGGATGAACATAAGACGAGCCTTTGAAGTTAAAGACTCTTTAAACGTAGACAAAAGACCAAAAAACTCCACACACACACACAGACACACACACACACAGACACACACACACTGAGTGCACTTCACTGAGACACGTCCTTAAAACTCGTGAACAACTCTGCGTCACTTTGAGCCTCTTCTGTTTGAAGCTTTCAGGTTTCAGACTCCAAAATGCCACCAGCTGACCTCGGCTGAGCTGCCGAGCATTTATTAACGTGATCCGTCCTCTGCGGCCACAACAGAGCGGGCGGGTGACATCTGATAGGCTGCAGAAAAGGCCATTCTCCATCTAGAGAGGATGAGTCAGTGGTGCTCTGGGTCCAACTCATCCCAGAGCAAAAAAAAAAAACCACACAATGAAAGTCAGTGACTTCAGAGCAGCAGAGTTGGCAGAGTCAACAAAAAAACCATGTGTTCTTTGTGGTTCCAGCTTCTCTTTGTTGTTCCACGATGACGACGCTTCAGCAGAGACAAAATAAAAAACACTGATAGCTGTAAAACCTCAAACAACTTCCAGACAAACCAGAGATTTAGTCTTAAATCACCYCAAATAGGTGCAGCTTCTGCAGTATTGTGGAGGTTGGTCCGGTGTGGTGAACAGGGAGCTGGTCCTCACCTGTGGTTAGGAGCTCGTGCAG